GAGAGAGAGAGAGAGAGAGAGAGAGAGAGAGAGAGAGAGAGAGAGAGAGAGAGAGAGAGAGAGAGAGAGAGAGAGAGAGAGAGAGAGGTGCGGCCGAGGGGGGGGGGCGGCGACCCTTCCACAACCAACCAATCAAGCAATCCATCAATCAATCAATCAATCAATCAATCAATCAATCAATCAAAAAAAAAAAAAAACAATTGATCAATCAATCAATCAGTCAATCAAATTGAATCAATTAATCAATCAATCAATCAATCAATCAATCAATCAATCAATCAACTAATCAATCAATCAATCATTAAAAAAAAAATCAATAAATGAATATTTATTTTTTTCCTATTTTTTATTTTTTTTTGCTACCTATCAACAACAACCCCCCCAAATTTTTGATTTTTTTTTTTTTTTAATGCAGGCCGACAGCAGCCAACGTGCACAGGCCGAGCGCACGCGTCGATTTTGAGCGCGCGCCCCCGCCTGGGCATGGCGCGGCCGCGGGCCTGCCGACTAGGATCCTGCGGCCGCGGCCAAGGGTGCCACGTAGGATGGAGCCTCTCTGGGGATGCTAGTGATGTCTGATCTTATCAGCATCCCTAGCATTAGTACAGAGTGTTCCAAAAAAAAAAAAAAAAAAAAAAAAGAAGCGGGAAGTATGTTCATGTCACAACAGTGTTCCTAATTGGCAAAAAAAACATGCAGCAGCAACTTTGTCAGGCCCAAGTTTTAAAAGGCGGTTGTAACTCAGGCCGGCAGTGGACTCAGGGCAGTAGTTTGTCATAGGCACTCGTGTTGCCTCGGAGCCGGTCCATTGCCAGGTACCCGGCCGTCCCACATTTTTTCGGAACCTGTCCCACCTGTTTTTCCCACCTGTTTTAGGCAGAGCACGGGACTGGTTACGGGCCTTTACCGTTGCTGGAGATGGCCGAGCCCGTTCGTGCTCCAACCGTTCCATGGTCACTACCAGCTTGCCTTGAGCCGGGTGAGTGCTGCCTCGGAGCCACATGTCGAAAGGCACACGCGCATGAGCTCTCTCTCTCTCTCTCTCTCTCTCTCTCTCTCTCTCTCTCTCTCTCTGTGTGTGTGTGTGTGTGTGTGTGTGTGTGTGTGTGTCTGAGAGAGAGAGAAGCGCGCGTGCGCCCCCTACCCTGCAACCCACAGCTCCCCTCCCCCCCACTCATGTCCTCGTCTTCCTTTTTCCAATGAGGGGTGCGCGCGTGGAGGATACTGCGGCGGGCAAGTCTGCGTGGCTGCGCGATAGTACATACTACGTGGGGATAAGCGCTCTCTAGTCGCTGCTTGCGGACTGCTCACGGGATGGTCAATATGATGACCTCTCTCTCTCTCTCTCTCTCTCTCTCTCTCTCTCTCTCTCTCTCTCTCTCTCTCTCTCTCTCCGGTCATCCCGATGACCCCCCCCCCCTCTCTCTCTCTCTCAGAGTCTCTCTCTCTCTCTCTCTCTCTCTCTCTCTCTCTCTCTCTCTGTCCGTGTGTGTGTGTGAGAGAGAGAGAGAGAGAGTGTATGTGTGTGAGAGAGAGTGTGTGTGTGTGTGTGTGTGTGTGAGAGAGAGAGAGAGAGAGAGAGAGAGAGAGAGATCTTTTTCGAATGAATATTGCCATACTTCTATGCTGGATTCAACGCAGAAATATGGCCAAATTCATTAAAAATATGGCCAAATTCATTAAAAAAAGGCCTCTGCGAGTCTGCATTCTTGTTGAATGAATATTGCCACAGAAATACGGCAATATTCATTTGAAAAAGATCTCTCTCTCTCTCTCTCTCTCTCTCTCTCTCTCTCTCTCTCTCT